TAACACCTGAGAAAAGAGCAAATTTCTCTTCAGACATATTTGAGACACTGAAGTTTGCTGTGTATTTATTTTTTTTCAAGATTTATTTATTTATGGATACAAGAGCTAGGGTATACCAGAGGTGTGGGGGTGAGAGGATTCATCAGAGACAGAGTGGGGAACAGAACAGGCAGATCTACTGAAATACACTGCTGAGGGGAGAAGTGGGCAAGTCAGGAGAGTTATATTGGGCCATGTGGGTTGCCCCCTGGCCAGTCAGGGATTGAACTTGTGCTGCAGAGGCTGTGGATTGCTTCATAGTGCTGTGCTTAACCCCTTACGCCACCAGGGAGGCCCTTGTTGCATATTTAAATGGAACAATAACAAAGAAAATGTCTCTAAACATGCTGGCAGATTCTGATCCAGAACTTTAACCATATGAAATTTACCACATTGGCTAAAATATATTTGCATGTTGAACACATCAGGTTGTTAGTAAATGTCTGTCATTTTTCAGCAGTAATGTGGGGTCAGCTGAATTAAACATCCAGGTAATTTTTGTGCCAATTTTATGTGCATTTCAAAAAGAAACAAATCTAAAACTCATTTTAGATCTATTATTTATTCATGCCAAAAACAACAGTCTAGAAAAGCTAAGTTCCCCCAAAATGTGATTGTTCAATTTACTCAGGAGTCTTTTAAATAAAAATAATCCTGTGTCTCAGCTGGTGAGTTCTACTTTGATAAGGCAAGTAAATACATGTAATTATAAAGTTACCATTTTCAAAGAGGAAAGTAATCCTTTCCTTATCCACTGATAAAACAGCTTGTAATTATTATACAGCTGAGAACAAAGATTTGTCCACAAAATCCCACTAAATCAAGCCTGATTTGACTGATTAAAATTTTCCTCATCAGGACATTCCTAATACACTGTGTGTGGCAACAGAGTCTTTAAAATATGGGAAACAAATTGGTGAAAACATAGGATAATGGTCCTGGATCTTAAAAAAAAAAGGCCATAAATAACCTAAAAGAGCCACTTTACTTAGTTATAAGAGACACTACTAATAAAATGTACTCATGGGCTTTAAAAGGTCTATCATTTTGGACATTCAAAATATCACATTTGTTCTGATATAGATATTCTGTTTTAGTGTATCTATAATTTAGAAAGCATTTAAATTAATGCAATTAAATTTGTATTACTGTAATCCTACCACAGATTCTATTTGTCATTCAGCTTTATCACAGATGTTGAAATAATGGACATTCCTTTTTTGTTCCACTTACACTAGTTAGACAACTGTGTTCTGGAAGTGTGACACAATTTGAATATTAATATGAATAAAGATAACTGAGATGCTCATCAGCTAAAATAGATTATAATGTTAGATCAAGTCATATAGAAACTACCACTGGAAATGCTCAAAATGCTCACACCATTTTGTACATTGTGCGGTGTCAATATTCAAAGATGCCACAAGCCATTCTGATATCTATAGGGAATACTCTGATGGCTATGGCTATCAAGACAGACACAGATGCTATTACAGCAAACACTTGCTAACACTTTAGATACATAATCTTGCATTGTTAATTTTTCTTTTTGTGTTATTCCCCAGATATCTAGTAACTGGGATCACTTCTTATTTTTCTACATAATCTTCTTAATGCCTAAGGCTCAATGACCTACACAAGGCATTTATTATATTAACTACTGTAAAACCACAGGCATATACCTTTGAAATGCATTATCTTCTTTAACAGATGCAAATATGATTGTCTAACAAACTGAGAAATTTCAAAGCTTCTTTGTAAGTTCAGACAGACCTCTGATACAGCCAACAGAGATGATTAAGACAGATAATGTTAGATTTGTTATTTAGCATATTTCAACATGTGTATTATGCAGATACATATAATAATGATATGTTTAAATGACAGAGATCATTTCATGCTTCTGGAATATAAGTATAATGTGAAAATAAGAGAAGTACTCCTTTTAATATACTAAGAAAAATTAAAGGTGGGGTAGCTTCCTTTTTTAGGCATGTACTAATAACTAATAATTATGGACCTCCACTGATCACACAGGTATAAGGAAGATCACTGGAAAGAAAGAGCCCATTACAGTATGTTTTCATTTCTAGTCATTTCCAAGTGACAGATACCAGTATGTTGTGGTTATAGAGACCTGTAATAACACATGGAGGAGAGATGATTTTTAGAATCTGATGGTCATTGGTCACTTTGATCCTGAAAATAGTCTGACATCAACTATTTAAACATTATTGCTTAAGCAGAATTTTATTTACACTAACAAATGTATTAACTCCTTGTTCAATTTTCTTTCCATCCCAACCTTGCCAGCCATTTTCCTTTCATTGATATTATTTTTACCAGGATCAATTATGTTGCATTTACATTTTTAAGGTGATTTTATTCATCATATGCCTCAATGTCCACATTAATGTTGCCAACTGGAGCTTCTGCTATTTTCACTTTTCTTTCTGTCAAGTCCTTATGGTACAGATGCAAATGTGTGAGGTACAGGGACTCAGGGAAAGAGAAAGGGGAGTGGCAAAGAGTGAGAAAAGAAGAGTCTCAAAGAAAGAAGCTAACAGATAAAAACAAACCGCAGGGCCTCCCCGGTGGCATAGTGGTTGAGCGCTGGGCAGCCTCTGCAGCGCCGGTTCTATCCCCGGCCACCAGCAAGGGTCCCACATGGCGCGCAGACCTCTCCTGCTGCCCGCTGCTCCCCTCAGCAGCGTACTTCAGTTCTTCTGCCTGCTCTCTTCCCTGAGAATTCTCTCACCCTCCCGTGCTTCTGACTGTACCCAGTGCTTGTATAAATAAATAAATAAAAATCTTTATATATATATAAAAAAAAAAAACTGCAGCTGTTCTGGGGTTTCACAGTCTGGTCAAAATATCCCTGGACTTTATCTTAAGGAGATGGTTTCTAGGGAGTTCTTACCAGCCCAGAACTTGGAGAAATTGTGCTGCCCTGAGAATAATATTGTGGGAATCTACTTAAGGGTGTTGCTTGACCATTGCAACTTGAATTTGTTGATGATATGGACAGGTTTCAAAGTATAGTTAGTCCAGAGAACCCTGGGGAGGCACCTGATGTAAAAACTGTTTTTACAGTAACCAGCAACAACAATAATAATACTCTACAAGCATTTGCACTGGCGAAGCAAAGTGACGGTGGGTAGAAATGCTGACATTTTACCACAGAATCGTTGTAGCAGTGTCAAACTATACTATATATAGTCAATCTATTTTTCAGCAAAGCAAATATTTACCAGCTTCAAGTAAGGATTCCCTTAATGAACAGTAAAATAATATAATAAGTCACTAAATCTCATCTTTTGGACACTCTGTATGGCCAAGTGGGAAGTGCACGGGAAACACTTCTGTGGCACTCTGAACTACAGCGTCATTATTAGGAAAAGCATTTGTGCAACTGTTTGAGTAACAAGCTAAACTACCCATTTTTCCAAGAAACACTGTTTTCTTCTTGGAATAATGATGGACACATTGTATTTGTTCAGTTTTAGTTATTTGCAGACATTTTCTCAAAAATGAGAAAAATGAGTCTGTCACATCAAGGAAAACAACTGACCATTTTGTGTCTGATGATAAAATCTGTACTTTAAAGAGAAAATCAAATTCTGGAAAACTTGCAACTAGTATCTTGACAGCTTTCCAATATTCAGAAGCTTTTCTGATGAGAATGGTATGATATTAACAAATGTGAAGCGTTTAATGTTTTATGTTGAAATGTGTCAACTTTTGAAAGATCTGAATAATACAAAATTGTCCATCTGATCGATGCATGATGTTATAAATCACACATGTGTAAAATTCATTTAATGTGCAAGTGAGACCAATAGATTTTAATATGAGAATATAAAAAGTTAGGGCTTCCTAGGTGGCACAAGGGGTTAAGACAACCTATGAAGCTGTCTTTAGCTACTGCAGCATGAGCTCGATCCCCAGCGGCCAGGGAGCAACCCACACGGCCCAGCAGACCTCTCCTGACTTGCCTGCTGTTCTCCTCAGCAGTGTACTTCAGTCAATCCACCTGTTCTGCTCCCCACTCTGTCTCTGGTGAATCCTCTCACCCCCCACACCTCTGGCCTATACCCCAGTTCTTGTATGCATAAATAAATAAATCTCAAAAAAATATATAAAAAGTTAGGTAAAATAGTTTCAGATTCTATGTTAAAATGAATCTTTAATAACTATTACTTAAAGACTTTACAGTGTAGTACCAAAGACTACAAAATGATTAAAAACTTCTCTTTTCCAAACATATAATCTGTGACACCAGATTTTCTTCATGTACCTTAAAAAACATGTTGCAAGTTTAAGGTAGAGGTTAAAAGGATTTGTAAAAATTTAAAATAGTGCTGCTCTTCTTACTAACATTTTATAAAAAACTATTTTCCATAATTTTGATATACACTATTGATATATAATACATACTGTAAAGTTAATATTTCATTATGAAAAAAATGAATAGTTAAAAAAGTTCCAAGGAGTTATTTCTGTTATCAAATTATCTTTTTCATCAATTATGTTCATTAATAGGTATCAACAGATATAACCCAAAATAAACAAGAGCTCTTTGTGGTCCCCAACATTAATAAATAAAGGAGTCCTGAGACCATAAAGCTTTCAACTACTGCTCTCCCACGGTGAAAACTTCTTACTGCCAATTTCTCAGTGTATTCCCAGAACACTAATTCTATGAAACAATCCATAGTAAAGGGGCTCCACTGTGTGGTAAGTTTGGAAACTTTGGAAAATCATAACACATACCACTCTTGCAAAGATACAACTCATATTTGGTTGTAGAACTTGTAAGAGTCACTGCTGTACGGCATTTGTTTCATCTTATTTAACTGAGTGTTCCTTTATGCTCCCTCAGGAAGTTTATGCTTGAGGAACCTATTGGCCACCAATCCTGGAGAAAGGGTGCTGGTCCGGAGAAATCTACCATCACTCACCTTCAAGTCGCACCACCAGGGGCACCTTGAGTTCCAGCTCCCGACAGGCTTTGGTGATTCCATTGGCAATGATGGCACAGTTGACAATTCCACCAAAAATATTGACAAGGATGGCTTCAACCTGAAATAAACAGAGGAAATCCCCATCAAAGTGCTGACAGCAAACATTCTAAAAAATAACTGACTAACCAAGAGAGACAATTAAAATAAGACCCTGTCTTTTGTTTTTAACACAGAACATAAAATACTTGAAAAGGCCCAGAAAATATTAAGTTAAAAATTTAGTGCTGAGCTAATAAATATCAATATATAACATTGGCATATCAACCCATATTACTCCATCAATCACTTCTCTGAATGCAATCCAGTCACCACTCATTTATTTTATACTGTCTCCTTGTTTTTCTAATATTACTGTCTGACACTATTCTTTTATGAGTTGTGTCATTTAAAAATTCATGCACTTATGTTGTTTCTCCCCACAGTCTATACTTCAATTTTTATTTGTCATGGGTTTCAGAAAATATTTCTAAACTAGGAATCTATTATTTGTTGTTTTGTATTAATAGGCAAAAATTTAAATGTTTCTGCAAGGTAGATTCTCAAAAGTGAGAGCATTTAATTATGTGAGGTAACAACCTTTTTGATAAAAAAGAAGACCCCCAAAAGAAATAGATACAAGCTCATATCACAAATAAGGATGTAAAGAAAGTCAAACCATTACTGGAATTTTTCAGAAATGTAAATTTCAACCCATCATGTTAACCTGTTTATACATATTCCATATTCAAAGGCACGCAGACCAAGAAAAAAATTGTAGTTGTCCTGACTTGACAAATAGGCATAAGAAAATCCTGTATAATTAGCATGAAGAACGAGATAATGAAGAGAATTCATTACCTAGATTAATTGATAACACCCACAGAAAATGGCTATTCATCAAGCTAAAGGCATCAAAATTCCAAGAATGGAGTTACAATTAAATTATGCTACACTAATTGTAAAGCATATATGTGTACACTGAGAGTGCCATTTTTAAATCCCATTATTTCAATATGCTAAATTAACTACACAAAACATATGACGAAAGAATACATTAGACTTGTACAGCACTTAACTGTTTTAGAAAGCACCATTAAATGAACCCTTATTTTTTATTTTGATCTTTCCCAGAACCCTATTCAGTAAGTACAGGGGTTAGCCCTCTGTACAAATTCAGGGAATTCACAAGGTTACACAAAGAATATGAAGCAGTGGTGAGGCCAAAGTCAACATTCTAGATCACCTACTGAGTCTTCATATCAGCTGCTGGAGTTGAGATGTAGGGCAATTCTCATACATGTTTTGAACATGGTTTCCCATCAATAAAATGGGAATACCTAGTTGGTAAGATTTTTGAAAAGTCTAAATGAAGTAATACATGTGAAATGCTTAGCACATGCCTAAAGATTACTTGATACATGCATTTATTTCAACAAGCAATTATGAACAGGTTACCTAGAAAGCAAGTTAAGATGAAAACCACTTTCAGTATATTGCAGTTCTGTTGAATCAAATATAATAGAAACACAAATTTATCTAAGTTCAATAGAAAAGGTAATACCTTAAGAACAAAATAAATGAGCAATATTTTGAAACCAATTAAGAGATTAGGGCTACTCCCCAAAAAGAAATGTCCTTTCACAGCAAGCTGACTGGTAGGCAGAAGCTTGCTTTCTAATGACAGTTATTAAATGCTGTTAACACTGAGGCTTGGTACAGAAGTAGTTTCCAAATAGCTGTGGGATAGAGAGGAACTTGCCAGAACAATGGAAGAAAAAACACTCAAGAGCAATAAGACTCCACAGGGACCAAGTGAGAATCTCAGGAACTGCTGTGGCTCACTCAGCTGTGTGGAAGCACCAGATTTTCTTGTAAAGTCCACATAGGTACCTGTGTGCCTCTGACATCTTCCAAATGGTACAATCTTTACGAGTCCAGATGTCAACAGATTCTCAGTAAAGCATTCTTTTCTCATCAAGTTAGGGCAAGTTACTGTGTCTTAATCTATCTAAAACTGTTCATTCTAGATAGTTACATTATACAGAACAAACATTGATTTCACCTACATAGGCAGGAGTGGGGGCAAGAAGGAAGGAAGATGCCCATAAGACTCAATGCTCCTCAGTGGGCACATGACCTGGAGTGAGTATCAAACATGAACTGTGGATCTGGTGCAGCCTCAGTAGGTATCAGTTTCCACGAGTCTCTCATATGTCTTATGTTTAATGAGTATCTTATGTTTAATGAGGCTCTGACATTAAACATACACATTCTTCATACATCCACTTGAATTGATGCTAAATCAAGGAAAAGTGGAAAAATAATGGCCTTTTTCAGGTGTACTAAGAAATTCTGTTTTTTTTTTTTTTTTTTTTTTTTTTAGTTTTTTTATTTTTGTTTATACAAGAGCTGAGGTATAGGACAGAGTAGTGGGAGGGTGAGAGCAGGGAGCAGAACAGGCAGACAGACCGAAAGCACTGCTGAGGGGAGCAGTGGGCAAGAGAGAAGTCTGCTGCACCATGTGGGAATCTCCCTGGCCAGCCAGGAATCGAACTGGTGCTGCGGAGGCTGCAGACAGCTTCACAGTGCTGCACTCAACCTGCTGCGCCACTGGGGAGCCCCAGAAATCCTGCTTTCTAATGTAGTCTATTACTTCTTATCCTCTATGCCCATCCCCAAGATACAAAACCCTTATGGGGGAAGGTGACCCCCACCTCTACAATAGGACTATGTGGTTTTTCCATCAGCAGTTATCACAATCCATGACATAGCATAATCATCTAATAAATACTGGTTTCAAGAGTGAATGAATTAAATTAATTTCAATAGATACTTAATGACCATGTTCCTTGCACTGGGTACAGAGTTAAGTGCTCGGGATAGGGAGATGAATAGGATATCCATCACTGTCCTCAGGGAATTCAGGCAAGCACCAATGCTACAGACAACAGTGATGAGAGGGGCTTTCTGACAGAGATAGAGATGTTCCAGCTGCCAAAAAGAATGAAAGGGCAGGGACTCAGGAACAAGGGGCCTGCCAGGATGAAGGCGGAACTGATATTCAACTTGGTTCATTCAGGACCTGCAGGTTCAATGGGGAAGTAACTGAGATGCTACAGAGAATGCTGAGTGGAGCTGACAGAGGCCAGGGATGGGAACTTGGCCTTTTTGTTCATTCCTTCTTTTCCTACAGGAGCAGAGGAGGGGTGATATGAGAAATAAAGGGGTAGAGAGAAGAATGAGTACATGAAAAGTACCGGTTGAGAAATAAAGAGTGACAGTGTGAGCATAAGAGGATGAGCAAGAGAGAACGAAAGAAAAGGAGACAGGAGAACACTGAAAAGAAGAGAGAAAAAAACAAGCAGTGAGAAAGGGAAAGAGAAGGAAAAAGAGTCTGATCATCAATATTCACAAAGCATTTAGAGATTTTATAGGAGAGCAACAAGACAAAGAAGTACACAGGCTGCTAAGCTCAGGGAAATGGGATAGTTTAGGACGTGGAACACCATGGAGCACTCGGAAGACCACCACAAGGGGTGATGGGAAGATCCCACTCCTCAGAGATGATGCTGTTCTCTCCCACTATAAAGTCATTTGCTGCAGTCATGCACTTTAATAAAAATCTGATTTAATATTTCACTCTGGGCCAATTTCTATAATTAACTACTGTAATCTGCAATCTCAAACTGAGAATAAAATTAAGACAGCTTGAAAATGAAAGCCTCATGACATCATTATTATTATTTAGCATTTATAAAGCATGTCAAATTTCCAATGTGAGCCTCACATGTTCATTCATTATTACAACCACTAATTGCTGTTTCATGGCAATGATAGCAACTTTTAATAGTCTTTATTTTTCCTTGCAAACAGAATGCTAGGAAAATATCAGTGCTATGTCTATTTAATTATCCAGAGACTCTCCTGAAGGTTCCTGAGTGTTTTTAGGAATAAAGGTTTTTCTAAATTCTCAGGTGAGAATTACAAGGTTTGCTATTTACTGTTTCACCAAAGTAAAGATCATCTAATGAGGCAGTTAGGTAGGAGAGGGAGAGCGCAGGTTCCCTAGTCTCCAGACAACTCCTCCCATGGTGACGTCTGCGGCAGCTGTTGGCAGCTGTGCAGGTGGTCCGGCAATCCAAATTCAGGTTTTTTTAAATGTCTCTTGTGGTGTTTGGCTCTGCAAAATATACTCTGATTATAGATTTTGTCCACAATTAAAACTAAAGAATGAAATTCAAAAATAAACTTGTCCTCTTTCACTTTTGATTTTGAGTTTTCTCCCTCTTTCCCTTAGTGAGCCCAGCTAAAGTTTTGTCTATTTTATTTTTCAAAGAACCAGCTTTCGGTTTTGGACAGTCTTTTGGATTTCTATTTCGCTGATTTCTGCTCTGATTTTTTATTATTTCCTTTCTTCTGCCAGTTTTTGGATTTTTTTGTCGTATTTCTAACATTTTGTTTTAACTCCTTGAGATGAAAGACATGGTTGTTTGGACTCTTTCTAGTTTGTTAATGTGGGCCTGTATTGCTATATACTTTCCTTTTAGGACAGTTTTTGCTGTGTCCCATACATTCTGAATGGTTGTGTCCTGATTATCATTTGCCTCAAAGTATTTCTGATTTCTTCTTTGATTTCCCCATTAATCCAGTGGTCATTCAGTGATGAGTGGATCAAAAAGATGTGGTACATATACACATGGAATACCACTCAGCAATCAAAAAAGATAAACTCATGCTATCTGCAGCAACATGGATGGAACTGGAAGGGATTATTCTATGCAAAGGAAGCCAGAAGAAAGAGAAATACCAGATGGTTTCACTTACATGTGGAATCTAGAGAAACCAAATAAAGGACAAGACAAAGATAAACTGGAAGACTGACCCTTAAAAGCTTACTATAGATTTGAGACATTTTAGGAGGGATGGGGTAAAAGGAGGGAGAGAGGGAGAGGAGACAATGGGAGGAGAGTGTGGTGGAGAATGGTGGAGGACTGTTGGCACTTGGGTAGTGGGAAAACTATACACACACACACACACCCAGATATATATATATATCTGGGTGTGTGTGTGTGTGTATAT